TATCCGCGCATAATTCCCCGCTCACTGGCTTCTAAGAAATCCATGATGATTTGTTTTTCAGCGCTATTGGGAACTTCGGTTTCCACGGCTTTGATGGCTTTGGAAAGATTGGCCTGTTCTCGGAATAATTTGCGATAAATCAATTGGATGTTGTTAATGGATTCGTCATTGAATCCACGTCGACGAAGTCCCAAAGCATTGATTCCCACATAAGAAATGGGCTCTCGACCCGCTTTGGTATATGGTGGCACATCTTTTCGAACCAATGTTCCTCCTGCAATAATGGCGTGTTGTCCAATGCGGGTAAATTGATGGACAGGGGTTAGGCCTCCAATAATGGCCCAATCTTCAATAATGACATGTCCCGCCAATCCAACGCCATTCACTAAAATGACATGGTTGCCAATCATGCAATCGTGTGCCACGTGTACAGTGGCCATAATCAAACAGTCGTCGCCAATTTTAGTGTATCCCGATGCAATGGTTCCTCGATTGATGGTTACACATTCTCTAATAACGGTTCGATCGCCAATATAAGTAAGGGTGGGTTCGTCCTTATATTTTAAATCTTGTGGGGCGGCCGATATAACGGCGCCTGGAAATATTTTACAATCTTTACCAATCCGAGCGCCTTCAAAAATGGTGACATTGGGGCCAATCCAAGTATTGTCTCCAATTTCAACATTGGCACTAATGGATGTAAAAGCATCAATGGTTACATTGTTCCCGATTTTGGTATCTGGATGTATGCTGGTTAATGTGTGTATCATAATTTAGTGATTCCCTTTGGTATTAGCAACTTGTGCCATCATTTCGGCTTCAACAGCAATGGCGTCTCCCACATAGGCAATTCCGCTCATGTGAACAATGCCACGTCTAATGGGCTCCAACAATTCGACTTTAAATACGACGGTGTCCCCTGGGACAACTTTCTTTTTAAACTTAACATTATTGATTTTAACAAAATAAGTGGAGTAATTTTCTGGATCGGGTACACCACTTAAAACCAAAATGCCCCCAGTTTGGGCCAAGGCTTCTACCAATAATACGCCAGGCATTACGGGTTCATCGGGGAAATGGCCTACAAAAAAAGGCTCATTCATGGTGATGTTTTTTACACCAATAACCTTATTGTCTTCCAAATACATGATTTTATCCACCATCAAAAATGGGGGGCGATGGGGGAGCAGTTTCATGATTTGATTCACATCGTATATAGGGGGAGAATTCAAATCGATGTCGGGTACGCTTTTTCGTTTGGCCAATTGAATTTGCTTTTTGAGTTTTTTGGCA